CTGGTACTATAGGCCTGTGCTACCACACCCAGCTAATTTTTGTTATTTTTTTAGTAGAGACAGTTTCACCACATTGGCCAGGTTGGTCTGGAACTCCTGACCTCAGGTGATCTGCCCACCTTGGCCTCCCAGAGTGGTGGTAAGGCATGAGCCACCACACCTGGGCTTTTATGGTTATTTCTTGATGATATGCTAAGCAAGGGGTGGATTATTCATGCCTTCCATTTTTAGATCATATAGGGTAACTTCCTGACGTTGCCATGGCATTTGTAAGCTGTCATGGCACTGGTGGGAGTGTAGCAGTAAGGACAACCAAAGGTGACACGTGTGGCCACCATGGTTTTGGTGGATTTTAGCCGGCTTCTTTACTGCAACCTGTTTTATCAGCAAGGTCTTTATGACCTGTATCTGTGTGGACCTCCAATCTCATTCTGTGACTTAGAATGCCTTAACCATCTGGGAATGCAGCCCAGTAAGTCTCAGCCTCATTTTATCTAGCTCATATTCAAGATGCATTTGCTTTGGTTCAAATGCTTCTGACATATTTATGATTGGGTTCCTATAACTGAGACAGTGAGGGAATAAGCTGAAGAATGCTGCCATGACCTCTAACAAATCACTGTGTGATCATGGGAAAAACTTCCTCTTGCCTTATTGGTGTTCCATTTCCATGACTATGAAAATGAGACTGGCTAGACGTGGTGGCTCACACCTGTAATCACAGCACTTTGGGAGGCCGAGGCAGGAGGATCACGAGGTCAGGAGATTGAGACCATCCTGGCCAACATGGTGAAACTCTGTCTTTGCTAAAATACAAAAACTACCTGTAATCCCAGCTATTCAGGAGGCTGAGGCAGGAGAATCGATTGAACCTGGGAGGTGGAGGTTGCAGTGAGCCGTGATTGCGCCACTGTACTCCAGCCTGGTTACAGAGTGAGACTCTGCCTAAAAAATTATAATAATAAAGAAAGAAAGAAAAAAATGAGACCAAGAGTCACTATCTTTTACAAACTCCTGCTTCATCTCCACCCAATAGGAACAACTGCATTTTTATCTACAGCATACACTGTGGTTCAGCATTAAGTATCATTTAAAGAAAGGCCAATGCTCAAAAGCAAGCTTAAAAACCTTCAAAATTTGATGGCTGTATCTTCCAATATTCTAAGATTTTAGTTTTTCTTAAGTCGAATTTGCTATACTCTCCACAGTACATGTGAAATTATCCATTCAGAGATTAGTTTACTAACTAGTATATGAGAAAAGTGAATCTTTAACGCATTTAAGTCAGATTGGCAAAAAAGACCTTTCCTGGGCTGGTTTCAAATCGTAATTTTTCTGTAGAACCCAGGAGTCAGCAGGCTTATGCAAAACGGCCAAAACTGAAACATAATGCCAAGAAGGAAACGTTTTAAACTTCTAGGTTACACAAATCCTCAAAGTAAAAACATCCTGAAACACACGCACTGAAGTGTTCCCCTTTCCCTTATTCAATATTGGTTTCCCTTCCCTTCCCCTCACCCACCCTCCCTTTGTCTCTCTCTTAAAACCCCCCCCTTACACTCCCTCCCTTACACTCACATCCCCTTCCTTCCTTTCCCCTCTCCTCCCCTAATCTTCTCTTTCCCCAATTTCTCTAACTTGCCCTCATCAGTTTCTGCTTCATTTGTATTCAAAGTTTTCTACTTGGGAATAATTTCAAGGCCCAAAGCACTTACTTCCTATACCATTTAAGGAAGTCCAAATCACTGGCTGGAAGAGTTGAAAAGGAATGCTTTCTACTTTCAGAACTTTTACTTTCTCATTCAGATAATCTGTGGGCCCTCTCTGTCAGAATTACATCCTCCACGACCCACAAGATTTTAGAATTTAAGTAAATCAAGTCATAAACTAGATTCCAGTTAACAAGAATTATCTGAATTTACAGCTCTACAACTAGCGAAAAGCAAGTGAGTTAATTTTTTTCTTTTTTTTTTTTTGAGATGGAGTCTTGCTGTCACCGAGACTGGAGTGTAGTGGCATGATCTCGGCTCACTGCAACCTCCGCCTCCCAGGTTCAAGCAGTTCTCCTGCCTCAGCCTCTCAAGTAGCTTGGATTACAGGCATGTGCCACTATGCCTGGCTCATTTTTGTATTTTTAGTAGAGATGGGTTTCACCATGTTGGCCAGGCTGGGCTTGAACTCCTGACCTCAAGTGATCCACCCACCCTGGCCTGTACTGGGATTACAGGTGTGAGCCACCCCCACAGGCAGCCACAAGTGAGTTAGTATTTAAGGCATCTTAGCCTCCATCTGTTCACAAGCATTCAATGTAGACCAGCAACTTGAACTTGTCACTTCAACCACTTAAAACATTTCTTAGAAAGGAAAGGATCTTCAGTCTGCTATAAAGGTCCCTAATAGTCCAGTCTAATCCAGACTGGAAAACTATCTTACAGAAAAAAAAATATTCAAGAGGAAAGCAGTCGGGCATAGTGGCTCATGCCTGTAATCCTAGCACTTTGGGAGGTGAGACAGGCAGATCACGAGGTCAGAAGATCGAGACCATCCTAGCCAACATGGTGAAACACCGTCTCTACTAAAATACAAAAATAGCCAGCAGTGGTGGTGTGCACCTGTAGTACCAGTCACTCAGGAGACTGAAGCAGAATTGCTTGAATACAGGAAGTGGAGGTTGCAGTGAGCCGAGATCGCACCACTGCACTCCAGCCTGGTGACACAGCAAGACTCCGTCTCAGAGGAAAGCTTTTTTTAACAGGTGACCTAAAAGCTTGCAGGTATTTTGTTTTGTTTGAGGCCGGGTCTCAAAAAATCTAGACTGGAGTGTAGTGGTGCACTCAGGGAACACTTCAGCCTCTTCCTCCTGGGCTCAAGCAATCCTCCAACCTCAGCCTCCTGAGAAGCTGGGACTACAGGTGATTGAAATGATGCCTGGCTAATTTTTGTATGTTTTGTAGGGACAGAATTTCACCATGTTGCTCAGGCTGGTCTTGAACTCCTTGTTTCAAGTGATTTGCCAGTCTTGGCTTCCTAAAGTGCTGGGATTACAGGAATGGGCCATGGTGCCCAGCAGGTATTTGTTTAAATTACTCCTATCACTATAAAACCTAACAGATGGGGTAGAGGCAAAGAAACCCATTATAAACCTTTATCTGGGCCGGGTGTGGTGGCTCATGCCTGTAATCATAGCACTTTGGGAGGCTGAGGTGGGTGGATCACCTGAGGTCAGGAATTCAAGACCAGCCTGGCCATCATGGTGAAATCCCATCTTAAATATATATATATATATATATATATATATATATATATATATATATATATATATACACACACATAAAGTAAAATTAAAAACTAAAAAAAAAAAACCTTTTTCTTATCAAACCTAATACTGTCCTTTGTGTAATAAATTATTGGGCTGTTTATCTCTTATAACCTCTCTGTTAATTCTCCCCTCACACATCTACCTTAAATCCTCGAATTTATTTTCCCTTTCCAGAATGAAGGGTGGGGCTAATCATACCAAAATGTTTTTCATCAGCCCTTCATTCAAGATATCATCAGAACCTACACACTTCTCTGCCCACACTCCAGCCCTCCATCCCCAAAACAAACAAACGAAATCACACATACTGGATTTCCACAGGCATGCAACAGAATATGTCCCCTGAGATGGGAAAGAAATCTATCTGCTCAGTTAAGGTTAACTAGAGTTCTTCACTAATTTAAAGATCACAGTAAAACTGGCCAGTTGATAACACTTACGGGATTAACAATGTCAGAGCAGGTAGAAGAGAACAGAAAATATGAAATACACGGTGGGCTCTCTGGTTCCCACCTCTACTCTTAACTCCTTAACAAAATTCCTACCCCAATGCTTCCTTTTTTTTTTTTTTTTAAAAGAGACAGGGTCTCGGCCGGGCACAGTGGTGCAAGCCTGAAATCCTTGTACTTTGGGAGGCCAAGGCAGGCAGATCATGAGGTCAGGAGTTTGAGACCAGCCTGACCAACACAGTGAAACCCTGAATACTACAAATATAAAAACCAGCCAGGCGTGGTAGTGCGTTGACCGTAATCCCAGCTACTCAGGAAGCCTAGGCAGGAGTATCGCTTGAACCTGGGAGGCAGAGGTTGCAGTGAGCCGAGATGCCGAGACTGTGCCCATTGCACACCAGCCTGTCCATCTCAAAAAAAAAAAAAAAAAAAAAAAAGAGAGAGACAGGGTCTCAGTATGTTGCCCAGGCTGAAGTGCAGTGGCTATCTGCAGGTGTGATCATAGGACACTATAGTCTCAAACTCCTGGGCTCCAGTAAGCCTCCCCGGTAGCTGGGACTATTGATGTGTGCCCAGTTTCTGTATCTTTTTAGAGATAGCGTCTCCCTATGTTGCCCAGGTTGGTCTCGGGACTCAAGTGATGCTCCCACCTTAGCCTGCCAAAGTGCTGGGATTACATGCATGAGCCACCGTCCCTGGCCCTTCCATACCTTTTGAAACCAGCCTATAACCTATAAAAAGACAGTGAAAGGGACTGATAACCCAAGCTTTTTTGCCTTTTACATAAAATTAACCACTGACTGCCAAAGGTCAAAGGCATCTAATTTTTAGATGGAGCACTCTTTTATAATGCTACAGTTGAAATTCTTCTTCGAACACTAAGGCTGATTACGGTTATTAGTGGTCAGGCTATGCTGAGTAAGTAATTACAGTCCCCTGCCCTCCAGAGCCATCCTGGGCAGATTTCTGCGCTGCTGCATAGGCTGGAGGTTGGCAGGCAGTGAAAGCCATCGGCCCTCTGAAGTCTTAGACATGTAATAGAGAACAGAGCCCAAGGATCTTCTGATACTGCTGCCTACAGAATGAGCAGGACCCTGTCAACATTAGCTGAGTTTGTAGCTACTCACCACATTCTCCCAAATAGACACCTCGTTTGGAGTTTCCATTCACTTTCATTCAATGAAGGGAAATGACTATCCATTATTTTGGAAGAAAACATTTGTAATGACTAGTCCTCAAGAATAACTTTGTTTTATTATCATGATCTGTGAAAAGCAACAGGGTAGACAGTTCAAGGAAGGACACAGACAGTGCCCTGTTTAGGTTCCAAATTTCTTCTTTTTGATGGGTGGTGGGAGCTGTGCAATGATGTCATCCAGAGGCCGTTCTACTGCCACAAGTGTTCTTTCATCCAAAAGATCCATGAAGAGTAGAGGCTGCAGAGGGATGATAATGATTCTATCAGGACTTAGGATGCGGGGCCAGTCTTGAACAAACTAACTGTAGTTAAATGCTGTCTAAATTAAAAGGTTAGTATAGTTCCAGGCTCAAATGATTTATCTCCTGACAGTTTTTCCTGCTGTATGACTCAAAATAGTTGGAATGCATGAAAGCTTTTTCTTTTATTTTTCAGACATGGGGGGTCTTACTATGTTGTCCAGGCTGGAGAGCAGTGACCATTCACAGACATGATCAGAGTGCACTGAAGCCCTGAACTCCTGGGCAGTCATCCTGCCTCAGTCTCCTAAGTAGCGGGACAACAGGTAGGTATGCATCACTGCAACCTGCTCAAGATTGGGAGCTTTTAATTGGGTTCACTCATAAAAGGTCTCAGCAGGATTTTTTATGTTTCTCTGGACAGAAAATCTATGATTCCCTTGTATCTCAGCAATCAATTTTAAGCAGCTAGAGTGCAATGGCGCAACCTTGGCTCACTGCAACCTTCGCCTCCTGGGTTCAAGTGATTCTCCTGTCTCAGCCTCCCAAGTAGCTGGGATTACAGGCATGTGCCACCACACCCAGCTAATTTTGTATTTTTAGTAGAGATGGGGTTTCTCCATGTTGGTCAGGCTGGTCTTGAACTCCCGACCTAAGGTGATCTGCCTGCCTTGGTCTCCCAAAGTGCTGGAATTACAGGTGTGAGCCACCATGCCCGGCAATTCTTTTTTTTCAAAGATAGAATCTCGATGTTGACCAGGCTGAGTACAGTGGTACAATCATACTGCAGCCCTGAACTCCTGAGTTCAAGCCATCATCCCATCTCATCTCAGCCTCTTGAGTAGCACAGGCTAGCTAATTTTTGTATTTTTTTTTTTTGTAGAGACTGGGTCTCACTATGTTATCCAGACTGCTCTTGAACTCCAGTCTCAGCCTCCTAAAGTGCTGGGATTACAGCTGTGAATCACCATACCCAGCCTAAGGCAACTGACAACTGGAAAGTTACAAATGCATCAAGAAGCTACAGACCTCTCCTCTCTTTTTTTTTTTTTTTTTTTTTTTGAGACAGAGTCTTGCTCTGTTACTCAGTGTAACCTTTGCCTGCTGGGTTTAAGCAATTTTCTGCCTCAGTCTCCCGAGTAGCTGGGATTATAGGTGCACGCCACCACACCTGGAAAATTTTTTGTATTTTTAGTAGAGATGGGTTTCACCATCTTGGCCAGGCTGGTCTTGAACTCCTGACCTCATGATCCACCTACCTCACCTTTTTTTCTTTTCTGTTAATAGTGATGGGGTTTTGCCATGGTGCCAAGGCTGGTCTTGAACTTCTGGGCTAAGGAGACCCACCTGCCTTGGCCTCCCAAAGTGCTAGGATTACAGGTGTGAGCTACCAAGCCCAGCCTGCTTAATAATCTATCCTATGGAACACTCCAACAAGAAGTAAAATTTAAAGCCAACTTTTACGCCAACAAAAACGCTACCTCAGCGCCAACATTTCTCACTAACCATGCATTACATTTTGGTTAAGTATGATGTGCCTGCCTCTAACCTACTAAAGCAAGAACAATAAAATATATACAAGGGATAGGCAGCCTGAGAAAGGTCACTTGTCTCCCACAAACCAGGATCTCTGCATGGAAAATGAAGGTGTTCTTATCTTCCCTTTGGGGGAGTTTATTACATTTCGGTATCACAAAGGAACCAACTATCCAGAATAACATCACAACATGTTTTACCTTATATATCTTAGAAATTTTAAAAGCATGAGCTGTGCGCCTCTGGACGACATCTGATTCATTCGTGGGAGGAAACGGATTGTAGAGTAAGGTTTTGTCATTTGGAAGGGGCTAAAAAGACAAAGATATATATTGTTTAAATGGTTACTTTTATTGTGCTTCTATAGACCAAAGGACTGTACTGCATTTTCAGCCCAACACCGTCTTCTAACTATCATATATATTGAGTACCACCCTGACATTCATTAATTCAGGAAAACAACTGTATTCATTATATTGCTATTCAGAAAAACTGGGGGCAGTGGGGGGAGAGAAGAAGAAAAGGAGAGAGAGGGAGAAAGAGCTGAAGCTACTCTTGCAGCTGCAACACAGAGGGTGGGAATATGAGGCAAAGAGAGCTTGTTACTCCATGCAGCAAGATCAAAGGGCCCTACTGGGGCTTCTGGCCTGTCTCATCAGTAACACTTTGTCAGAAAGGAACAAACTGGCAAGTGCAGGAGCTCAGCCCACGCAGGCTGTGTGCTTTCTAGACTCTCCCCCAACCAGATCACAGACTGGACAAGTGACTGAAGTTCTCCCCAGGCTGAACCTCAACATAAACCACCCCTGCTGATGTCACTGACACCTCGAGGTGGCCTCTGGCCAAACAAATGATATTTTGTCTCTGACTTCCTTGAGAAATACGTATGCCCAGTATAAGGAAGCGATGAACTTAAAACTAATGCTTGGGAAAAAAATGATCTGAGCTCAGTTACAAAGACACAAGAGAGTGGGAGGGGCCCCTTCCTGTATCACTCATCTTGCACAAGGCACTTGTCAGCCAGCTCTGCTTCCCACACCCAGAGGTCGCAGGGCCCACGAGATGATTCCAATGACACATCCCTGTGCACACCTCCTTTAGAGCCATCTGCTGCTTTCCCCCATGTTCCTTCCACCCCCATCTTCACAGACACACCAAAACACCATGTGATGGTTGTAATCTAAGCACAAAGTGCAGGACAGGCATGGCCACAGTGCTCCTAGGACACAAAGCACCTGCCCAGAAAAGACATATAAATTCAGGGTCAATCAAAAAAGCAGCTGGCAAAGAGGCTGGAATCTAAAACTGAAGAAAATGCTCCTATCCCATCTATGTCACAGCCATGAAGATTTTTCCTAGCTGGGTTTTTTGGAGATGTTAAGACCAGTTCTTCAAGCCTGCAGACAGTATTTCAGCATCTTCAGCAAGGGGCATAGAGGTCAAAACCTCAGCCTGTTACCTCCTTTAGAAACCATGTTATTCAGTCAACCCAGGGTTCAAAGTCCAAAGAGAGTAAGCCAAATCAATGAAACTTCCCTTCTGAATACTGACCTAATCACTTTTGTATGTAAGATTTACGTGCTCATTGGCAAAGCAGAGAAACAGTCAAATCAGCAAAAGCCAGTACACAAAGGCCAGCCCCTTCCCTGAGATCCTCCCGAAGAACTGTGGGAACACAAATCAGGGAATCTGTAAAACAAAACCCCCTCTCCTCCAAGGAATGTACTAGCTACTTTTATTCTGATTTACTAGCTACCTTTATTCTGATTCTCCTTCCTCTATTTTATTGTACTTGTTGTTTTAGAACGCGAAGTTTCAGAAGAAGACTTGGTGAGGCAGCAGGGAAGAACTCACCAATGACTTGTCAATGATGCAGAACATGTAGGCATCATGGAGAAGGATGTGCATCGGTCTCTTTGGATGAAAACTGATATGTGTGATAGGAGTATCCCTTTGGAGCCAAAGGTGGTGAAAGCCGTGCTTCTGGACAGTCCGGCTCCAGTCTGTATAGTGTTTGTCTGGGATGCTGTACTCAAATACCTGAGGAAGGACATGACACAGAGGAATGCAGGCTGGTACCCAGGAAGACCAGAAGAGCATTCTCCTTCCTAACCCGAAAGTATCTATACAAACCTTCAACTGTATTCAGTTTATTCAGTCTATGCTCTCCCACCACTTTTTTAATTAAAAAATTTTAGTAGCCGGGCGCGGTGGCTCAAGCCTGTAATTCCAGCACTTTGGGAGGCTGAGGTGGGTGGATCACGAGGTCAAGAGATCGGGACCATCCTGGTCAACATGGTGAAACCCCGTCTCTACTAAAGATACAAAAAAATTAGCTGGGCATGGTGGCACGTGCCTGTAATCCCAGCTACTCAGGAGGCTGAGGCAGGAGAATTGCTTGAACCCAGGAGGCGGAGGTTGCAGTGAGCCGAGATCGCGCCATTGCACTCCAGCCTGGGTAACAAGAGCGAAACTCCGTCTCAAAAAAAAAAAATAAATAAAAAAATAAAAAAATTGTAGAAGAGAAATTATAGAACAATAAAAGTCATACTACAATCTTGACATTCCTCTTTTCCAAGACAAGAACAACCCTCAATTTCGTATTTACATCTTTTCAGAGCTATTTTATGCATATAATACATAGTGTTCTGTATCCTGCTTCTTCTTGCTTAGTGTTATATAATAGAGACTGACCCACATCAATATACACATATACATCACTCATGCATATTCTGAAACACACAGTAGTCCACTAATTTTATGCATGCATCATGATTTACTTATCCACTCTACTTAATGGACATAATCTTGTTTCATATCTTTGTCTACTATAAACAAAGCTGCAATGAACTGATCTCTGTATAAAAGTCTTTTTTGCATAGCTAAAAGCATATATATATGTATATATACATATCAGAAATGAAATTTCTTTTTTTTTTCAGACGGAGTTTCGCTCTTGTTACCCAGGCTGGAGTGCAATGGCGCGATCTTGGCTCACCGCAACCTCCGCCTCCTGGGTTCAGGCAATTCTCCTGCCTCAGCCTCCTGAGTAGCTGGGATTACAGGCATGCACCACCATGCCCAGCTAATTTTTTTGTATTTTTAGTAGAGACGGGGTTTCACCATGTTGACCAGGATGGTCTCGATCTCTTGACCTCGTGATCCACCCGCCTCGGCCTCCCAAAGTGCTGGGATTACAGGCTTGAGCCACCACGCCCGGCCCCAGAAATGAAATTTCAAAGTCAAAGATTAGTGGACTTAAAAATTTTTAAGGTATTGCCAAAATGTCCTCCAAAAGGGTTAGGATAATTTACACAACGTGTGAGAGTACTGTTTTCCTATACCCTCACAACATTGTGTATTATCAACTCTTTGATCTTTGCTAATCTAACGGATATAAAAAATTTCCCATCAGTTTTACTTTTAGAAGCACTTAAGGGACCAAGTACCAGTAAAAGGTATTGGGTTAAACATTACCATTATGTGTGACAAAGGCAAAGATAAGGCTTCACTACTCTTTCAGTCTTTGATCAAGACTCAAGTCTACAAAAGAGATTTCATTTTTTGGACAGTGTGCATGTGTGAGTGTAAAAACTGACCATCAAAACAGTAAGCATCATTTGCCTAGCAGTCTACTTAAATGTGCTTCCAAAATTACATTTAATCTTTCCAACAGCTCAGTGAGGTAGATATCATCGCCAATTTTACAGATAAATACATAGAATAATTGATAGCTTCCTAATGTGTTCTGCAGCCAAGGTTTTTTGTTTTTCTTTTTGAGACGAATTTTCGCTCTTGTTACTCAGGCTGGAGTGCAATGGCGTGATCTTGGCTCATCGCAACCTCCGCCTCCTGGGTTCAGGCAATTCTCCTGCCTCAGCCTCCTGAGGAGCTGGGATTACAGGCACGCGCCACCACGCCCAGCTAATTTTTTGTATCTTTAGTAGAGACAAGGTTTCACCATGTTGACCAGGATGGTCTCGATCTCTTGGTCTCTTGACCTCGTGATCCACCCACCTCAGCCTCCCAAAGTGCTGGGATTACAGGCTTGAGCCACCACGCCCGGCCCTCAGGTCTTTGTTTTTTTTTAAAAAAAGATCTCTTTATAGGCCGGGAGCAGTGGCTCACGCCTGTAATCCCAACACTGGGAGGCCCAGCGGGTGGATCACCGGAGGTTAGGAGTTTGAGACCTGGCTGGCCCAATGTGGCAAAAACCCCATCACTACCAAAAATAGCAAAAAAAAACCCAAAAAAACACCAGAGGAAAAAATCTATTTATTCTCCTTACAAATTGGTAAGGAAAAAGGCAGATTTGGTTCTAATTTTGGCTGAGATTAGGTACTAATCTTACTAGGGCTCGATTTCCTCATCTGCAAGGGTAAAGGTGAATAATACAATCTTTTAGTCACTTTCAACTCTCAAAATTTTATACCATTCCATATCGAGTTTAACACCCAAGCCCAGCTGGGCGTGGTGGCTCACGCCTGTAATCCCAGCACTTTGGGAGGCCAAGGCGGGTGGATCATGAGGTCAAGAGATTGAGACCATCCTAGTCAACATGGTGAAACCCCGTCTCTACTAAAAATACAAAAAATTAGCTGGGCATGGTGGCACGTGCCTGTAATCCTAGCTACTCAGGAGGCTGAGGCAGGAGAATTGCCTGAACCCAGGACGTGGAGGTTGCGGTGACCCGAGATCACGCCATTGCACTCCAGCCTGGGTAACAAGAGCGAAACTCCACCTGAAAAACAAAAACAAACAAACAAAAAAAACACCCAAGCCCATGTCATCTCTGCTCTAAAATAATCAGAAAAATGAGTTCTTCAAAATTCCTCCTCCATTTAAACTGCATCCCATCAAACCAATGGATACTGCTGGCCTGTGATGAGCCCAGACAGGCAAGGAAGCTTTACTTCACACAGGAGAAAACTACCTTATCTCCTCCAGCACCTTCAAAGAAAAGCTCCCCTCAACTGCTCAATATCCCAGCTTCCAGGTTACTATCCACAAGGAAGGGATTAGAAAGCACTGGAATCTCCCTTACCTGCTGGTCAGAATGAGCGATGACAAGGTTGTTGGCATTAGGGGCAATGGCCATAGCAGTCACTGGGAAATTGTAAGCAGGCACCGTGCAGTGAAGCTGAGAACAAATAACAGACACAATTCTAAGTGACACTTGTCCTCAGCAAAGACTGAATTGTCTAGGTCAGGAGTTTAAGTAGTGCTCCTTGGAACTCAAAAGGGTTCTCTGGAAGTTCCCAAAAATTTCAGGCACTTCCCCAACCAATGAACTTTAATTTCTTTACTCTTTTTTTTTTGGAGACAGAGTTTCACTCTTATCATCCAGGCTGGAGTGCAGTGGCATGATCTCAGCTGACTGCAACCTCCACCTCCCAGGCTCAAGCGATTTTCCTCCTGTATTCAAGTGATTCTCTTCCCTCAGGCTCCCAAGTAGCTGGGATTGCAGAAGCCCACCACCACATTTGGCTACTTTTTTGTATTTTTAGTAGAGATAAGGTTTTGTCATGTTGGGCAAGCTGGTCTCCAACTCCTGACCTCAGGTGATCTGCCAGCCTTGGCCTCCCCAAGTGCTGGGATTAAAGGCATGAGCCACCATGCTCAGCCTCATCTTCTTAAAAAATGCCTATTGGCTGGCCAGGTACAGTAGCTCACACCTGTAATCCCAACACTTTGGGAAGCTGAGGCAGGCCGACCATGAGCTCAGGTGTTCAAGAGTAGCCTAGCCAACAGAGTGAAACCCTGTCTCTACTAAAAATACAAAAATTGGCTGTCGTGGTGGCAGGTGTCTCTAATCCCAGCTACTTGGGAGGCTGACACAGAAGAATCGCTTGCACCTGGAAGGTGGAGGTTATAGTGACAGGAGATCGCGCCACTGCTCTCCAGCTTGGGTAACAGTGCAAGACTCAGTCTCAAAAATAAATAAATAAGGCTGGGCGCGGTGGCACAAACCTGTAATCCCAGCACTTTGGGAGGCCGAGGCGGGTGGATCACGAGGTCAAGAGATCGAGACCATCCTGGTCAACACGGTGAAACCCTGTCTCTACTAAAAATACAAAAAATTAGCTGGGCATGGTGGCGTGTGCCTGTAATCCCAGCTACTCAGGAGGCTGAGGCAGGAGAATTGCCTGAACCCAGGAGGCGGAGGTTGCAGTGAGCTGAGATCGTGCCATTGCACTCTAGCCTGGGTAACAAGAGTGAAACTCCATAAAATAAATAAATAAATAAACAAACAAATAAATAAATGCCTACTGGTTGGGCACGGTTGCTCACACCTATAACTATAGCACTTTGGAAGGGCCAGGGTGAGAGGAATACTTGAGTACAGGAGTTCAAGACCAACCTGGGCAACACAGGAAAACCGTATCTCTTAAAAAAAAATGTCATGAAGTGGGACTTAAGAAAAAAAAAAAAAAAAAAAGATTAGCTAGGTGTGGTGGGGCTCGCCTGTAGTCCCAGCTGCTCAGGAGGTGGAGGTGGGAGGACTGCTTAAGCCCAGATGTCAAGGCTGCAGTTAGCTGTGATTGCGCCACTGTGCTCAGTCTGGGCGACAGAGTGAAACCCTGTCTCAAAAACATAAAAAGCATAGTTAACCACTTACAAAATGAACAGCATTTGTGGAGAACTGAGAGTAAAAAGCCTTTCCCTCAGAGTAAATCCTTCAATACAAATTGCTCATGTCATTGAACAGGGCATCTACAGCTATATGCTAGGTTTTAAAGAAATTAACATCTAGGCATGGATTTTTATGTACAATTGCAAAGCATGTGCATGCTACACACACTCTTAATCAGGGGTCCCCAAACTACGGCCCATCCTGAGGCCATTTATCCGGCCCCCGCCACACTTCAGGAAGGGGCACCTCTTTCATTGGTGGTCAGTGAGAGGAACACAGGATGCATCCGCATCCTGTGCTCCTGGAGTACTGTATGTGGTGGCGCCGCAAAGCGCAGCATCACTCACTACAGTACTACTTCCGGTGATGCGGGATGCATGCGTCACGGCTCTGGAAGCGCGTCATATGACTCACATCCGGTCTGCGGCTGCAGCGCCCCACGTCACTGGAAGCAGTGTGAAATAACAGCAGAAGTAGGAAGAAAGGCAAAGCACTATAACCATTACTACACAGTACAGTGGCCCCCATACTCCCCCAAATGTACAACAACATAATGGCCCCTATAACCTCCCTTTGCCCAAAAGTCTTCCCCTACATTACTATACACCGTGTTTCCCCTATTATAAGACCCTGTCTTATATTCATTTTACCCCCAAAAGACAGGGGCTGTCCTTAGGAGGTGTCTTATAATAAGGGAAACATGCAGCAGTGGGCTTCCCACAGAAGAGGCCCACCGCTGCTGCATTTGTCCAGGACGCTGTATACACAGTGTCACAGGCTGATCACCGCCATCCCCGTATACAGCACTAGAGACGGTGCTGGGCCTGTGACACTGTATACCGCTGTCTGGGATAGTGGAGGCAGCAGCGCTGGCTGTGAAGGGTGTCACATCTTGCATAGTCCGGCCCTCCAACGGTCTGAGGGACAGTGAACTGGTCCCCTGTGTAAAAAGTTTGGGGACCGCTGCTCTAAATGCTAGGCAAGACTCAAAGACAAGTGCTCAGTACATGCTCCTACTACAATGCAACAAAGGTTATACTACGCACTTAACAGGCAAACTCATTAAGTGTTGCAGTTTGACATTATCCTATAAACTTTTAATGCTTATTCCAAGTTTTGGGTAGTTCAAATCTGATTTTTATGATGAAGATGAGGACTTGGAATACTAATGCCTCAATTTATGACTGACAGCATCATTACTGATCAGTGAAAAATGTTTCCCCAGTATTCCTTTTTTGAAGTTTTAATAGTGTTTACCTTGAGATTACAAGGCAAGGCATGAAAAGAACTCTTATTATCTGCAACTATTTGTCGTGTACACAGCATTTTCCTCCCCAAAATATAGAAAGAACCTAGATGTGTTTACATCATCCACAAATCATTAATTTCAAATTTCCATGTATGAATGGTTTCACTGGGCCAGTAGCTGATTTTAATGTTACAGAGAATGGCTTCTGGGTTCCATAAAAATAAAACAGAATTCCAAACCTGGAAAAAATTCTTCATTAAAAAGAAAAAAGTCAGGGGCCGGGCGCGGTGGCTCAAGCCTGTAATCCCAGCACTTTGGGAGGCCGAGGCGGGTGGATCACGAGGTCAAGAGATCGAGACCATCCTGGTCAACATGGTGAAACCCCGTCTCTACTAAAAATACAAAAAATTAGCTGGGCATGGTGGTGCGTGCCTGTAATCCCAGCTACTCAGGAGGCTGAGGCAGGAGAATTGCCTGAACCCAGGAGGCGGAGGTTGCGGTGAGCCGAGATCGGGCCATTGCACTCCAGCCTGGGTAACAAGAGCGAAACTCCGTCTCAAAAAAAAAAAAAAAAGAAAAAAGTCAAATAAATTTCCAGGTCATGCCAATCTGCCTTGAGTCGTTTAACTGCAGGGTGAACTGCCTCCTGTACAATGATTCAAACTGCTGCCATGAAACCCTATGCTCACCTTTAGCTGTTTTACATTGTAAACATGGACTCCAGCACTGGTACCTGATGCAGCTAGCCAATTCCCATCTGGACTGACTGCCAAAAGACACATGGCCTCCACTGTCCCTGTGAAGAAAGAAGAGTTGGATATCTGAATTCAGTGTCCACAGCCAGCCCTGCCCTGGATATGATGGCAAAAGCCAAGGAGACTCTCGGAGTTTTAAATCACTGCCAGGATAATTTTTTAATCACTGTGCAAATTAGTTCTAGATGTTAATGTGTCTACTTTTTCCATCTAATTATTTAGCCATCCCTCATGTAAAGATTCAGAGATAAAAAAGAAGTTATTACTTGCTCAGGCCTAAGACACTGCTTACTATGGGAATAGAGAATCATGGTAGCATCTGCCACTAAAATATATACTAATTGTTTCAAACTCCTTTCCTACCAAATATTTTTTTTTTTTTTAAAGATGAGGTTTCACCATGTTGGTCAGGCTGGTCTTGAACTCCTGACCTCAGGTGATCTGCCCAACTTGGCCTCCAAAGTGCTTGGATTACAGGCGTGAGCGACCACGTTCAGTCCCCAATGTTTTTTTTTAAATCAAAGTTATGAACGGGCTTGGGCACGGTGGCTCACACCTGTAATCCCAGCACTTAGGGAGGTGGAGGTGGGTGGATCGCCTGAGTTCAGGAGTTTGAGACCAACATGGTGAAACCTCATCTCTACAAAAAATACCAAAATTAGGCCAGGCACAGTGGCTCATGCCTGTAATCCCAGCACTCTGGGAGGCCAAGGAGGGTGGATCACAAGGTCAGGAGATCGAGACCATCATGGGTAACACAGTGAAACCTGTCTTGACTAAAAATACAAAAAATTAGCTGGGTGTAGTGGCACATCCCTATAGTTCCAGCTACTAGGGAAGCTGAGGCAGAAGAATCACTTGAACCTGAGAGGCAGAGGTTGCAGTGAACTGAGATCACACCACTGCACTCCAGCCTGCATGACAGAGTGAGACTCTATCTCAAACAACCCCCTATCAAAAAAAAACCAAAAACACAACAACAACAAAGTTACAAACAGCAAGTTCAATAGATTTAACGCCTATCTAATTTATTGGGTGCCTGCTGTATATTTTGCATTAAGGGAGGATGGGCATGTCTGAGCCATCTTTGTCATCTAGAGACTTTAAACCAATCTGGCAACATGACGACTAGTGTGGGATAAAAATTGGACAGTGATGCTCTATGCCAAAATGCGTGCTGCATGTAACGCCCCCAAACGATAAAATGGCTTTATAACAAGCATAACCCAGCTGCCAAAGGATGGGTGGGGATGGGGAGAAAAGGATGGGGAACGGTGCAAGCTAAGTGATGAGGACTAGAATATGCAGGTTTGAGGGCTGTGAAGAAACCAGCTTGACTACAAGGGGAAGTGAGATGAGAGAAGTGAAAAAAATAGTCATATACATAATGCAGAGCTGAATCTCAAGGAGTGCTAGATGCAAGATAAATAGTCTAAGTTTTGTAATAAAAACATATATAGATAATAAATAGTATGATTTATCTGACCCCTAACTTGTGGGTTTCTTGTGTAGACTTCGGGATCAGCTTATGAACAGTGAGACTTGAGGTTAAAAGAGTTGACTTTCACTAGGCATGGTGGCTCACACCTGTAATCCCAGCATTTGGGAGGCCGTGGCAGGAGGATTGCTTGAGCCCAGGAGTTCAAGACCAGGCTGGGCAACATGGTGAAACCCTATCTCTACAAAAATACAAAACTTAGCTGGGTGTGGTGGCACACTCCTGTGTACTTGGGAGGCTGAGGTGGAAGGATCACCTGAGCCTGGGGAGGCTGAGGCTGCAGTGAGCCATAATCACACCACTGCACTTCAGCCTTGGCAAAAGAGCAAGACCCTGTCTCAAAAAAGACAGGGTGACAGACTGAAATGACAGTGAAGCAGCTAAAATCCAGGACAAGAGAGAGGGGAAAGGCCCACAGAAAGTATCCAAACAACCAGCAGCTTAAGCTGGAAGCTAAGTCTAAGTCCTTAACAGTTAGCCATAGCTAGCTACGTAGACAAACTCATGTTAATAATACTCATATTCTCAAGGAGAATAGAAAAATGGTCAGGAACATTAAATGCGGGTAATTAAACTGTATGTAAAAGGATACTATTGGGCCAGGCACACTGCCTCATGCCTATCATCTCAGCTAGGAGGTCAGGATGGGAGGATCACTTGAGCCCAGGAGTTCAAAACCAACCTGGGCAACATAATGAGCTCCTGTATCTACAAAAAAAAAAATCTAAAAATTAGGTGGACACAGTGGTATGCATCTGCAGTCCCAGCTACACAGGATGCTGAGATGGGAGGATCACTTAAGCCCAGGAGGTCAAGGTGGCAGTGATCTATGATTGTACCTTTTTATAAACCACCAAAAAAGGCAACATGCCCACAAAATACTTACATATAAATACCTATTAGAAAACATCAAAATATTAATGGTAGCTATTGTTAGGATTAAAATAATTTTAACTTTCTTCTTGCTCTGCTAACAAACTAAGAAGGATGATGAAACTTCTCTGGCCCCAAATAAGGAATCAAAAACCCAGTGAGAAAAGAGTAGGTGTGAAGAGCATTGCAGATCTCATCGAGAGTCTTCATCTGCCAGCTATCTCCTCCTACTTGAAACTGCAAACATCTGAGTGAGTGGATCTGCAGGGTAGGAGGAACACGAGGGAACTCCCGACATGGAGGCTTAAAAGGAAAAAAGTTACATCTTAGACGCAAGTCTCCCCATGGCCAGTTACCAGATTCCCACCTGACTGAGGCTGGAAAGCATGCAGGTGCTTGAAGCTTCCTCCTGACAGTTGAACGATATGCAGAGCTCCTAGATTTGAAGCTACAAAGAGCTTTGTTGAGTCCTCAGAAAACAAAATCTGAAGGGCAGAGCGAAGGAATGCTGGCATTTTGGAAACCTTTGGGTGAACCAATAACAAAAGCCAGTGAGAGAAGGGAGACCTACAGCCCATCAGAAACCATCACAGCCATGCTTAAGTTACATTAAAGCTTCCTGTCTCTAAGTAAGCCAACTGACTCAGGACACAGAACACTGGTTTCTCTCCAGTAACCTATACATCCCTCTTCCATCTCTTTACTAAATATTCACTTTCCTATCAAAGAAATAACTATGTCACAAATCACTAAACAGAAAAGCCTTAACTTTACTGCCTTTAGGGCATTCCCCCACCCCTCTAAGAACAGAAATCAAAATGGAAATAAAGGCTGGGTGCAGTGTCTCACCCAGCAATTTGGGAGGCCAAGGCAGGTGGACTACCTGAGGTCAGGAGTTTGAAACCAGCCTAGCCAACGTACTAAAAACTGTCTCTACTAAAAATACAAAAAATTAGCTGACGTGGTGGTGGGCACCTGTAATTCCAGCTATTCAGGAGGCTGAGGCAGGAGAATTGCTTGAACCCAGGAGGGGAAGGTCACAGTGAGCCAAGATTGTGCCATTGCACTCCAGCCTGGGTGACAAGAGCAAAACTGTCTCAAAAAAAAAAAAAAATGCTGAGTGTGGTGGCTCATGCCTGTAATGCCATCACTTTGGGAGGCCAAGGTGGGTGAATTACCCAAGGTCAGGAGTTTGAGACCAGCCTCAGCCTGGCCAACAAGGTAAAACTCTGTTCTCCACTAAAAATACAAAAATTAGACTACTCGGGAAGCTGAAGTACAGAATTGCTTGAGCCCAGGAGGTGGAGGTTGCAGTGAGCCAAGACCGCGAGCCATTGCACTCCAGCCTGGGCGACAAGAACGAAACTCTGTCTCCAGAAAAAAAAAAAAAGGAAATAAAACATCATTTTGTAATAGCCCTCTCCAAATAACTTTTATTTATTTATTTATTTTGAGACCGAGTTTCACTCTTGTTACCCAGGCTGGAGTGCAATGGCGCGATCTCGGCTCATCGCAACCTCCGCCTCCTGGGTTCAGGCAATTCTCCTGCCTCAGCCTCCTGAGTAGCTGGGATTACAGGCACGCGCCACCACGCCCAGCTAGTTTTTTGTATTTTTAGTAGAGACGGGGTTTCACCATGTTGACCAGGATGGTCTCGATCTCTCGACCTCGTGATCCACCCACCTCGGCCTCCCAAAGTGCTGGGATTACAGGCTTGAGCCATTGCACCCGGCCTTCCAAATAACTTTTAACTGAGCAATGATTCACATTCAGTTATTTTCACTTCATACAAAAATAACACATTTAGGAAGTTTCCTCTTAGGTGACCAGACACTGGGCTATCACTTACCCTTTTGAGGCTTATGTTGTCATGTTCATAATTCAGTCGATAGAGAAAAAACCGAGAAGCTGTAGAATAGGCTATCCAACTTCCACATGGGGAGATACAACTGCAGATAATGTTCTCAGGACCCTGGCAATATCAGGAATCAAGATGAATGTGCAATTAAACTTCACATAATAAGGTGCACTGGGACACAACACCTCAAGCTCTTGCCACTCTGGACATGTCCACAGATACCTACACATGATCTCGATCCTCATGTGATCTGTGTCACTCTGATTATTTCAGAGGCAGAGTACCTAAAAGGTGTGGCTCTGATTTCCAAATCCAAAAATGAAGGTCTATTCTTATCTTTGCCCTTTGAATACTTCACAGATGGCCTCTTACTAAACCCCAACTTCAGAAACCTAAGCAGGAAGGAATTCACTGAACGAAAGCTTGGGAGGATAGGTGGTTTGGAGTACTTATTTTCTGTTTTGTCTATGACATTCTGCTTTAAAGACTTCTAAGAAATAGTAAATGAAAAACATTTGGAGGCCGGGTACGGTGGGTTGTGCCTGTAATCCCAGCACTCTGGAGAGGCTGAGGTGGAGGATTACTTGAGCCCAGGAGTTCAAGACCTGTGTGGACAAACATGGTGAAATCCTGTCTCTACAAAAACTACAAAAAATTAGCTGGGCATGGTGTTGCACATCTTTAGTTCCATAAGGTGGGAGGCCAAGGTGGGAGGATAGCCTGAGCCCAGGAGGTTGAGGCTGTAGTGAGCCATGATGGAACCCCTGCTATCCAGCCCGGATAACACAATGAGACCCTGTCTCAAAAAAGTAAGCAAACAAACGAAAAATCAACCAAACAACAAACAAAAAAGAATCTGGAGAATAAAGTTGAATGTAACATTCATTTAATTTTTAAAAACTCACAAAACAAAATGATCTTTTTCCCCATTGTATAACATTTTGTATTATTTAAATTTTTCTTTTTTTTTTTTTTTTGAGACGGAGTTTCGCTCTCGTTACCCAGGCTGGAGTGCAATGGCGCGATCTCGGCTCACCGCAACCTCCGCCTCCTGGGCTCAGGCAATTCTCCTGCCTCGGCCTCCTGAGTAGCTGGGATTACAGGCACGCGCCACCATGCCCAGCTAATTTTTTGTATTTTTAGTAGAGACGGGGTTTCACTATGTTGACCAGGATGGTCTCGATCTCTTGACCTCATGATCCACCCGCCTCGGCCTCCCAAAGTGCTGGGATTACAGGCTTGAGCCACCGTGCCCGGCCTGAATTTTTAAAAATACGCACATGCTTGGGCAACGTGGCTCATGCCTGTAATCCCAGCACTTTGGGAGGCTGAGGTGGGCAGATCACCTGAGGTTGGGAGTTCGAGACCAGCCTGACCAATATGGAGAAACCCTGTCTCTACTAAAAATACAAAAAATTAGCCGGGCATGGTGGCGCATGCCTATAATCCTAGTTTTTTGGGAGGCTGAGGCAGGAGAATCACTTGAACCTGGGAGGTGTAGGTTGCAGTGAGCTGAGATCATGCCATTGCACTCCAGCCTGGGCAACGAGAGTGAAACTCCATCAAAACAAAAAAACAAAAACAAAAACATTATTTTCATAATAATATCAAAAGGAGAGACATCTATTTCCTGTATACATTCATTTAATACATTCTCAATGTCTAATTATAATCACAGGAAACCCAGTCCTGGTAACATAGTCTTTCATTCAAATAGTTTTAGAATTTATACAATTTATGATATGAACTAACTAACCTCAAAATTCACAATGGGAAAAACATTCCAGATTTCAGAGCCCAAACAAGCTTCCTTACCTTCGTCTTGAGATACAGTAAATGATCTGCATTTTTGGAGAGTGGAAGAATATCCCCATTCTTGCCTGAAACAAGAAACTTCCCTGAGATTTTTCTTAGGAAAAAAGAGTACTGTTTATTTTTTCTTCTAAAAAGTCACTCCTTAGAAGAATGGAATCTCTGGCAGTGGGAAATCAGAAAAATGTAAGCTTACTAAGCTCACAATTTATGAGGGTATATGAAGAGGAAAACAATGAGTACTTCCTTGGCTTCTATCCTGACACATCACTAACTCCCTGAAGCTCTACTCCATAGCCAGGCATGCAGGTGGAGTATGCGTGGCCTCAATTTTAATCCACTGCAAACAAGAGGACCAGCATTTCCTTAATAGGTCACAGAAAAAAGCCACTAGGCTGTCACTCTGATAAGATTCGTGTGACCTTCTTTTTCATACATTACTGAAATGGATCATTACTATCCATCATTAAATCTTGCTTATTTTTCAACAGCCTGTTTTCTTCTCAGTCAAGCTAGGGCAAATAACGATTCTCCAATTCTCACCTTGACTACATCCTGCAGCACACCACCAAGAGCCATAAACTTTTAAGAGATGATCCAATAACCTGCTAAAGATTCTAATACTCTAAAATTAGAGTATTATTTGCTTTATCTAATGGGTGGGAAAACCATTAGTTAAAATGGACACAAAAATCGACTTCAGTTTTTCTATAAGCAGAATTCCAACTGCAATTCTGATTTCTGGCTTCTCTCTCCAGTTTTCTTATTGCAAAAAAACTTGCTCCCATTTTACCTGTTGCAACTGTGGATCCCAGTCGCCAAAGTTCCAAGTGATGAGCAAACTGGAAGAGGAGAAGCTGCCTCTTTCTAGAACAGGAAATGAGACGTCGCTATATCCAAGAATCAAAAAGTTAAAAAATAAGTCAGGATCATCTACTGCCTCAGTACCAGATACAGCAGCACCACCTTAGCACATGTTTTACTGCTGAAATTCACTTCCTTGACAAACATTTCCTAAGTACTCCCATATGCCAGGCACTGTCCTGGAATCTATGAATGCAATGAAGAATTAAAACAGCTACTGCTCTTAAGATGATTCTAGAGAGATGACACAGAACTACATCAGCCATTATACTTCAGGGTACCAAGAATTTTTAACATGGCTAAACACAGTATGTACTGAAAAATAAGGAGAGAGAACATCTAACCTAGCTGAGTGGTGGTAAATACAAAGCCCAGATGAGGTTCACCGGGAAAGACCAGTCAGGCAAAGGAGGCAAGGCAGAATGTTGTGAGGAGGTTGATGGCATGTGACACAGCTCAAAGGTAAAAAGAGTATTCAAGGGACAAAAACACGTTGAGAATGGCTAGCCTGGGTTAAGGGCGCTACAAGTGTGAGAGGTGAGACAGGAAGCTGAAGGGCCAGGCCCGGAGGGAGACAGGTTCTATATGCCACACTAAGGAACCTATCTTTATGCTGAAGCCAACAGGGATAACAGGAGGCTTTGAAGCATGGAGTGATGAACAAAGTTGCTTTAAAATAGATCAGTGGGCCTGGAGCAATGGCAAGTGCCTGTAATTCCAACACTTGGGAGGCCGAGGTGGGAGGACTGCTTGAGACCAGGAATTTGAGACGAGTTTGAGACCAGCCTGGACAAGGTAAGTGAGATATTATCTCTATTAAAAAAATTAAAAAAAAAAAATTAGCTGGGAGGCTGAGGCAGGAGAAACGCTTGAACCTGGGAGGCAGAGATTGCAGTGAGCTGAGATCATGCCACTACAATCCTGCCTGGGCAACAAGAGCGAAAACGCCATCTCAAAACGAAAACAAAAACAAAAAAACAACTAGCTGAGTGTGGTGGCGCACACCTGTGGTTCCAGTGACTCAGGAGGCCGAGATGAGAGGACTATTTAAGCTCAGGAAGCAGAGGTTACAGTGAGGCAGGATCACGCCACTGCAATCCAGTCTGGGTGACAGAGCAAGACCTTGTCTCAAAAACAAAAACTAGGGCCAGGCGCAGTGGCTCAAGCCTGTAATCCCAGCACTTTGGGAGGCCGAGGCGGGTGGATCACGAGGTCAAGAGATCGAGACCATCCTGGTCAACATGGTGAAACCCCATCTCTACTAAAAATATAAAAAATTAGCTGGGCATGGTGGCGCGTGCCTGTAATCCCAGCTACTCAGGAGGCTGAGGCAGGAGAATTGCCTGAACCCAGGAGGCGGAGGTTGAGGTGAGCCGAGACCGCGCCATTGCACTCCAGCCTGGGTAACAAGAGCGAAACTCCGTCTCAAAAAAAAAAAAAAAAAAAAAACTAAAGAAATAAAATAGGATCAGTGAATAGGCTAGAATGACCCAAATGGAAATAAAAGGACAGGATTAAGAAGCTACTGTAGGGGCAGGTGCAGTGGCCCACGCCTGTAATCTCAGCACTTTGGGAGGCTGAGGCGAGCAGATCACCTGAGGTTGGGAGTTCAAGACCAACCCGACCAACATGGAGAAACCCCGTCTCTACTAAAAATACAAAATTAGCTGGGTGCACTGGTGCATGCTTGTAATCCCAGCTATGCAGGAAGCTGAGGCAGGAGAATCACTTGAACCTGGGAGGTGGAGGTTGTGGTGAGCCAAGATTGACCCAATGCACTCCAGCCTGGGGAGTGAAACTCTGTCTGGGGGGAAAAAAAATTCCTACAAATTTGCCGAGCATGAGCTGTGTTCACAGCCCTGTGGGACACAGGGATGGGGAGATGAGGGGTTGGCAGGGGTTGGGAATGGAAACTTACATGGGGAAAGGTGATTTTTCGGAGAGCAGCATCATAATTCTTTACCTCAACCTTCTCCATGAGAGGACGAATGACTAAGTGGGTGTCAGTGCCTAGGAATGGGGGGGAGAAGGTGTACAGAATTAGAAGTTATGCCGTATGAGAACAGCCAGAGCCAGGAGAGGTAAAGCAGCAGCTTTGCTGGGAGGAGAACCCACCTCCGGATATCAGTGATGTTGGGCTGTGGGCCACAGTGCGCACGTCATGAGTGTGATGCTGGAATGGTTTTGTCCGAACCCACTGCTTCTCACTGCTGTTAGATGTCACAGGGACCAGCTGAAAATGGAAGACTGTCCCCTCGGCTGTGCCCACCACAAAACTGTCTTCTTGCTGAAGATTAAATCATGAGGGAGACACATGTAAGCAAAACAAGGTCTGACTGGAAAAATACTCCCTGAGGTTTTCTGTCTGGGCAGCTTAGGGGTAAACCTATGCCCAGAATCAGTAGGAAAGTTACAAGGGTCTTTTCTCTCCAGAAGCTAAAGATTCCATCAGAGGAGCAAGGTCAGACACAGGTAACAATGCCCCCCTACTGATAAAATTAACAACGTCTACAGTAGGACCAATATAGTAACGTTTCATATACACAACCTAGATCTCCTTAAAATAGCAGAGAGAGATAAAATACCTAGGACCTATCTGAGAAATTTAAATCCTTCTAAAGAACATGAGGGAAAACCTAAACAAACAAATCCGTACCATGTTCTTTAATAGGTATATTCAACATGATCAAAATATTATCACTAAAGAAATATATTAAACCAATAAAAACACTCATAAGCCGGGCGCGGTGGCTCAGGCCTGTAATCCCAGCACTTTGGGAGGCCGAGGTGGGTGGATCACAAGTTCAAGAGATCGAGACCATCCTGGTCAACATGGTGAAACCCCATCTCTACTAAAAATACAAAAAATTAGCTGGGCATGGTGGCATGTGCCTGTAATCCCAGCTACTCAGGAGGCTGAGGCAGGAGAATTGCCTGAACCCAGGAGGCGGAGGTTGCGGTGAGCCGAGATCGCGCCATTGTACTCCAGCCTGGGTAACAAGAGCGAAAACTCCGTCTCAAAAAAAAACAAAACAAAAACACTGATAATCTTTTATTTGGAGCGAGAACAGTTGTTTCATATTTTATTAAAAATATGTAAGAAACACCAGGCACGGTGGCTCACGCCTATGAGTGAGCCTCCTTTTTTTTTTTTTTTTTTTTTTTTTTGTCATTCATTCTCTTTTATTTAACTTTAAGCAGAGCTTAATCAGAAAGAACTCAGAGGAGTAAGGCAACACCAACACCGGGGTGTACGATTCATACAAGGCTCCCCCCGACACCAGTTCCAGTCGGGAGGGACTTGGAGTGGCCTGCCACGCCGGGGCAGTGGAGCGCATGAAAGCCTTAACTTGGGACCCGAAGAGTAATGTGACTGCGAAGGCACCGTCGACGTCCGGCACCCCCTGTAGACGGGCACATAATAGATACATTTCTGAAGATAGTGATGGAAACTGGGGCCCAGTACTTTGGTAGGCCAAGGCAGGCAGATCATGAGGTCAGGAGATCGAGACCATCATGGCCAATACAGTGAAACCCCGTCTCTAATAAAAATACAAAAAATTAGGCCGGGCGCGGTGGCTCAAGCCTGTAATCCCAGCACTTTGGGAGGCTGAGGCGGGTGGATCATGAGGTCAAGGGATCGAGACCATCCTGGTCAACATGGTGAAACCCCGTCTCTACTAAAAATACTAAAAATTAGTTGGGCATGGTGGCGTGTGCCTGTAATCCCAGCTACTCAGGAGGCTGAGGCAGGAGAATTGCCTGAACCCAGGAGGCGGAGGTTGCGGTGAGCCGAGATCGCACCATTGCACTCCAGCCTGGGCAACAAGAGTGAAACTCCGTCTCAAAAAAAAAAAAAAAAAAAAAAAATTAGATGGGTGTAGTGGTGTGTGCCTATAATCCCGGCTACTCGGGAGGCTGAGGAGGGAGAATTGTTTGAACCAGGGAATCAGAGGTTGCAGTGAGCCGGGATCACACCAGAGAGAGACTCTGTCTCAAAAAAAAAGAAAAAAGAAAAAGAAAAGAAAAGAAAAAAGAAAAAATAACAAGAAACATCAGCCAGGCATGCTGGCTTACTCCTGTAATCCCGGCACTTTAGAAAGCTGAGGTGGGTGGATCACTTGAGTCCAGGAGTTTGAGACCAGCCTGGCCAACGTGGTGAAGCCTGTCTCTACTAAAAATACAAAATTTGCTGGGCATGGTGGCACATGCCTGTAATCCCAGCACTTTGGGAGGTGGAGGTGGGTGGATCACCTAAGTCAGGAGTTCAAGACCAGCCTGGCCATCATGGTGAAACCCCATCTTACAAAAAAAAAAAAAAAAGATTCTCCCACCTCAGCCTCCCAAGTAGCTGGTATTATAGGCACACACCACCACATTTGGCTAATTTTTGCTCTTTTTTTTTTTTCGAGATGGAGTTTTGCTCTTGTCACCCAGGCTGGAGTGCAATGGTGCGATCTCAGCTCACCGCAATCTCCAATTCCTGGGTTCAAGCCATTCTCCTGCCTCAGCCTTCTGAGTAGCTGCGATTACAGGTGTGTGTCACCTCGCCCAGCTAATTTTTGGATTATTAGTAGAGATAAGGTTTCACCATGTTGTCCAGGCTGGTCTCGAACTCCCGACCTCAGGTGATCTACCTGCCTCGGCCTCCCAAAGTGCTGGGATTACAGGTGTGAGTCACTGCACCGGGCCTTGAATTTTTTTTTTTTAAGTAGACAGTGTTTCAACCATGTTGGCAAGGAAGGTCTCAAACTCCTGACCTCAGGTAAGCCACCTACCCCAACCTCCCAAAGTCTCATCTTTAAAAAAAAATTAAAGAAATAAATAAGAAAAAGCAAACAGGCCGGGCGCGGTGGCTCAAACCTTTAATCCCAGCACTTTGGGAGGCCAAGGCGGGTGGATCACGAGCTCAAGAGATCGAGACCATCCCGGTCAACATGGTGAAACCCCGTCTCTACTAAAAATACAAAAATTAGCTGGGCATGGTGGCACGTGCCTATAATCCCAGCTACTCAGGAGGCTGAGGCAGGAGAATTGCCTGAACTCAGGAGGCGGAGGTTGCGGTGAGCCGAGATCACACTATTGCACTCCAGCCTGGGTAACAAGAGTGAAACCCCGTCTCAAAAAAACAAAAAAACAAAAGAGAAAGCAAACAAACAAAAACACAAGCCCACAACACAAACAAAAAACCCAAACAAGAGTAGTAATGTGACTGGACGTGATGGCTCACATCTGTAATTCCTGCACTCTGGAAGAGAGGAGAATCACTTCAGCCCAGGAATTTGAGACCAATCTGGACAACATAGTGAGACCCCATCTCTACAAAAAATGTTAAAAACTTAGCCTGGTGGTACACGCCTGTAGTCCCAGCCACTTGGGAGGCTAAGGTAGGAGGACTACTTCAGCCTGAGAGGCAGAGGCTGCAGTGAGCCATGATTACGCCACCGTACTTCACCTGGGTAACAGAGCAAAATCCTATTTAAAAAAAAAAAATAGTAATGACGATATACATCGAAAAGAACTAAAGACAGGAACTCAAACATATACAAATACAGGCTGAAGATTTCTAATCCAAGGCCAGTCGTGGTGGCTCACATTTGTAATCCCAGCACTTTGGGAAGCTGAGGCAGGTGGATCACCTGAGGTCAGGAGTTTGAGACTAGCCTTGGCCAACATGGTGAAACTCTGTCTCTACTAAAAAAATTGGCTGGGCATGGTGGTGTGAGCCTGTAATCCCAGCTTAAAAAAAAAGAAAGGATTTATAATCCAAAATAGAAAACTTTTTGAGTGCTAATATGACACCACAAGTGGAAAACTTCACAATTCACCTGATCTGCTGGATCAAAGTCAAAACTATTTCATGCATAAAATAAACAAAATATTGTACAAAATTACCTTCAGGCTACGTGTATATAGTATATATGAAACACAAATAAATTTCTTATATAGGCTGGGGTCCCATCGTCAAGATATCTCATTATGTATATGCAAACATTCCAAAATCCAAAATCTGAAACACTTTTGGTCCCAAGCAGAACCAGATCAGACACTCAACCAGTACTTGTACTTCAATGTTCAGAGAAGCATTATTTTTTTTTTTTTGAGACAGAGTTTAACTCTTGTTGCCCAGGATGGAGTGCAATGGTGCAATCTCAGCTCACTGCAACCTCCGCCTCCCGGGTTCAAACAACACTTCTGCCTCAGCCTCCTGAGTAGCTGGGATTACAGGCACACGCCACCATGCCTGTCTTCAAGTCCCGACCTCAGATGATCCTCCCACCTCCGCCTCCCAAACTGGTGGGATTACAGGTGTGCGCCACCACATCTGGTTCTGACATGGAATCATAAAAGAACTGAAGGACGGGCATGCTGGCTCACACCTGTAACCCCAGCACTTTGGGAAGCTGAGGCAGGCAGATAATGAGGTCAGGAGTTGAGACCAGCCTGGCCAACGTGGTGAAACCTCATCTCTACTAAAGATACAAAAAAATAGCCAGCCATTGTGGTGGCACATGCCTGTAATCCCAGCTACTTGAGAGGCTGAGGCAGGAGAATCTCTTGAACCTGGGAGGTGGAGGTTTCAGTGAGCTGAGATCTCACCACTGCACTCTAGCCTAAGTGACAAGGTGAAACTTTGCCTCAAAAAAATTACCAAAAAACAAACAAAAAAACCCCCCAAAAAACTGGCAGGGCATGGTGGCTGATGCCTGTAATCCCAGCACTTTGGGAGGCCGAGCCAGGCAGATCCCGAGGTCAGGAGTTTGAGATCAGCCTGGCCAATATGGCAAAACCCCATCTCTAGTAAAAATACAAAAATCGACCAGGTATGGTGGCGTGCACCTGCAATCCCAGCTACTTGGGAGGCTGAGGCAGGAGAAATGCTTAAATCCAGGAGGTGGAGGTTGCAATGAGCCGAGATCGTGCCATTGAACTCCACCCTGGGCGACAAGAGCAAGACTTCATCTTAAAAAAAAAAAAAAAGAAAAAAGAAAAACCCAAAAAACTGAAAGGGAAACAAAAGAAAAGGCTCTCTTAGAACATAGGAGTTAGGAAGCAAAGGGAAAGAAAATCCAACGTTGAATTGAGATGAAGAGTTCCCAATTTAATCAAGAGTAACTGCTTCATACAGAAAAAAAAAAAAAAAAAAAAAAAATCTCAGTACTGACCTCTAAATGAAAGCAAATATTCTCTACAACTCCCTTCAGGAATCAGTACTCACCTCATAGATGAAGGTGAAAAACATGTAAGAAAATCAAAGGACTGGATATTTGCCACAATTAACTTTTT